TGACTCTAAGATCAAATATGCAAGGGATGTAGGCATTCTTAATGCTGCCCCTTCCAAAACTACCAACTGGGTTCACAATTACACTCTCACCAGAGTAAACTCTACTTAATTAGGGAGCTATTTTTCCTAATAAGATCAATCTATCCAAATCCAATGGAGATATAGCAATATACCCCACTGAAGATAGCCATCCATTTGAACCATAACTCTGAGTGCTATTAACAAATTTATAATGTTTCCTTCAGAGAGATCTCCACATTCTTTGAACAGTTTCAAAAATCGATAAAGGGAAGCTTATTTACTTGTAACTACACGTGGAGAGTGAAGAATGTCAAGAATAATGTCACTCCAGTCTATTGTTTCTCCATCAGCTCTCTCTCAATTTGCTAACAAATCTTACTGATGACTCATTTCCTCTGCACTAACAAAATCACCCCATTCCTTAATGATAGGCTTTTTACCGGTAATAGAAAGTAGAAAACAGATGTCAACCTACTTTGGCATACTAAAAGTAGATAGCAAATACTCTTTGAATACCAAAGTACCAACCAACCGAGAAGCATTTATCAAACATCTGCCATGTTCAGGCACTGCTTTTACAGGCAAAAATGAAACAGTCACTGCCCTCAAGAACCTTCCATTCTATCCAGAGAAGCAACACGTACACATCTAAGTAAATGTAAAATATATACAAAGTAAACACAAAGTAATTTCTAAAGTGGCTACTAATAGGGAGGGGACAAAGGAAAGGTCTCATGTAGGTAGGACTTGAGCCACACAATGGGCATGGAGGAAAACATTTATCCATAACTTCAAATAAAACAGTATTAATTTAAAGTGATGTCCAACACCTGATGAAAAATAAGGTTAACACTAAAAGAGTTCAGGGAGACTTTTGCAAATCTGAATTCTTGTCAAATACATTAGTTTAAAAGCCAAAGTTTTGGCCACAGCAGAAATAAAAATAAAAGTACTGTATCTGATCTTCTAAAGCAAATATATCACATGTGCATTTTGTGCCAAAAGAATTAACATTTTCTGAGAAAGATGAAATCTCAACCCAAAGACACTATGAAAAGAATTAAAATACTGCTTCTCTAAAGGCAAGCCCTTTCAATGGTCAAAATATTTTTTTTTCAAAACGGGCTCAGCTAACAAAAGGGTCACTGAAAGAGTAATTTTATAACTCCCTAAAGTTTGAAAAGTCAACATTGCACAAGATAAATTTATATTAAAAAGATGAAATTAAATAGGGTTTGTGGGTTGTTTAAACTACAGTAGACTCCATGTTACTGGTTAATAAATTCAATTCAGGAAAACCAAAACCATATGTATATCACATATGTAAAAACTGCTGATTACGATTGGTTATGTCCTCACAGGTATTTTGCTACTGAATCTTACAGAAACCTTGAGTAATGGTGATGTAAGAATCTTCCTTGAAAAATGCTAGAGAGGGGCCACCTCCTCACCCTAATTCTGGTTAATTCAACAACGGATAATTACAGAAAGTGGACAGAGCCAGTACAGCTCTAGAGCCACTTCTGGAGGGGCTGCCTGGACAACAGTGGAATCTAGTTTGGCCAAGACCAAACCACTCCTCAAGAAAATGGCATTCACACACAATACCCACTTCAGTTCCAAATCGGGCAACTCTGCAAAGCTTTCAGAAAACCAACCAGGAAGTTAAAAAAGCTGGAAAATGTGATTCTGCTAACTCAACAAAGAATAATTGCAGAAAGTTATCAGACACCTTTATATATACAATAGTTGTGAAGTTTAGTGGGGTCAGAAGCTCTCCTAAGTTTCTCCAAAGATTAAGAGAATTAAATCATCATTTCATAATCCAATGAAACATGGCTCAAAACCAAGATAACTAAATGAACTGTTTCACCATGGTTTATAAAATCAAGAGATTATGCATCAATTTCTAGAGAACATACTATCAAGTTGAGTATCTCAGACAGAAATCACAAAACAAATATGCCAGGAAAAGACTTTACATACTTTTAAAGGAATAATTAAAAAGTTTAAAACAAAAATCTATATTTCAAGGAGAAAAGGACAATTTGGGCACTTAATTATCTCCTACATAGCTCTTTGCAAAAAATTATGGAGGTGAGAGTGACTGAAAATAGATTACTAGATTACTATAAACTGGGGCATAGGCAATTATGTGGCAGAGTAGCTAGAGTGCTGAGCCAGGAGTTAGGAAGACCTGAGTTCAAATTCAACCTTAAACACTTATTGGCATTGTGACCCTGGGCAAGTCATTTAACTCTGTTTGCTGAAGTTCCCTCATTTGTAAGATGAGCTGGAGAAGCAAATGGCAAACCATTCCAGTATCTTTGCCAAAAAAACCCTAAATGGGATCATGAATAGCAGAACACAACTGAACAACATAAACTAGGACACTACAGAAGGAAAAAATTGTCCACTGTTGCCTGTTTGTTTTTTTAACTTCATTTTTCTTGAGGGTTTTTTTTTTCACTGTTGGCTGTTTTTACTAGGCAAACAAGGTGACGTGATCAACTTTTGAAAGTTACAATCCTAAACCCTACAGTAGCAGCTATAACAACAAACAACTCACTTTTATATAGTGCCTTAAGATTTACAAAGTACAACTCTGCTATTCAACAAGTCTTCTAAACAGCAGTGTTGTGTACCTTCAGCAACATCAAACATGGCATATGTAACACACTTAAGAGATAGTATGCCACACTCATCCTCTTCTAGAGGGAACTTCAATTTTCAAATGAACCCAATTTTTTCACAGAACTTCCAGGAAAAACACCTACCAATTTAGACCAGCTTACTGTTCAAGGTGAAGAGATCAAAAATCTGTCTACAGGATTAGTGTTCTTCCTTTGCATCAAATGTCTCAACATTTTATTTTTAAGTTCTCTCCAGAGACTTCACTATAGTTTCCAACCCCCAATTCTGCCCTAGTGCTGAAAAACAAATCACTCCTTATATTTCAATTCTGTTCCTCAATATGAATAAGTTTTTCAGATAATTGCTCTGGAAAGATGTTACGGTAAATTACTAAACAAGTAGAAGGTTAATCCCTAAGAACGATCAATGTTATTTTTTTTAATATTCTGGAAAATGTTCCCATTAAAAATAATACTTTTAAGCCTTCAGGTCTTTATTTTTCAAATTATATGTAAAATCAGCCACATATTTACTCTTTCATAATATTTCCAAAGTTCAATGACTATGCTGTAAATGGTTTCTTTCCATCAACTGGGTTCATGAAAATTAAATATTACTTGACTTTTGAGTCATGGAGGGAGTGGTTTTACTTCTGCAATTCTGAGTCACAGCATACTCTCTCTGTTCAGAAGTTCTAAACTATTTGTCATTTATACAGGTGTCCTAAAATTAGCCAGCCATTCCCAGGGGCAAGACCATTTCTAGTGACCCACTTTCCCAGAGAAGAGACCATGTCTGGATGACCCTTTCTAACTCACCCTCAAAGTCACTAAAATCCATCCATTCCTCTCCCCACCCCAACAAAAAATACAAGTCTGCCTGTCAACTTTTTCAGCCAGATTTTCCTCTCCCAGCCACATCCCAGGTGCCTCATAAAAACTGAGTACACCAGCACAAGGCACACACCCTGAGGCCCCAAGAGAGTTTGTAGGCAAAATCTACTCCCACACAAAAGCCTATACTTAGGCCCTAAAGAGTCTCCAACCAGCCTTTCCTTAAATGATGGCCTTGCCTCCAAGCCTCTCTATTCACTGCTTACACCAACCAAAGAAGAGCTCTAAGGAGAAGAAACCCCCAAGGAAACTCTACTGAAAGAAAAGCTCACTTTCTATTTCTGAAAGCACAAAGTACGGGGTGATTTGGAAGAATGCCTGTACCCTTTCTGGGTTTATATGAACTAAGAGTCCTTCACATTGAGAAGTTGTGTAAATAAAGATGGTTTTAGTGGGAGCCAGGCTTTCCAAGGACTGGAGCAGTCACCAAGTTTAAGGGTTAACCCAAAGTCCTAAGCACTAGAGCCATTAATTATCAAGCCTTCAAAAAAGACCCTTGGGATACAAGGCCATAGAACCCATGACTAAAAGGGACTCCCAACAGTATATGGACAAGAATACAACACAAATTAGAGTATTGCTGCATTGGCAGAACAACCCCTAAACAATCAATCTATATACAGTTATGAAGTACCTACTGTGTGCCAGGCACTGCCCTAAACACTCAAACAGAAATAAGCAGTTGGTGTCTATGTATGGCAATCAGACCAATCAATCCTCAATATTCCAACCATCAGAAAAAATCTGAATGTTGAGATGTTCACTTGTCACCATGTTCCACGTGCACTTGCCATTGGTGTATAGGCAAATGATTTTGAGGCCTTGATAATGTCATTCTGCTTCCTTAATTTCTGTCTGCACTTTCAACAGGACATAACTTCACTGACTTCCTGTCTGAAACTACTGCACATCATATGGAACATAGCAGCAAAGAGCTTCCATGTTCCAATTCAGTAGTAGCTACTTTTTTGATAAAAGGGAAAGCACTAACCTTTAAACTCAAGGAAATCTACAAAGTAAATGTCCTCTGGAATTTGTTTAGATATTAAGAAAGTTGTATGTTTAGGCTTTCTTGCCAGGAGTAGGGGGTGGGGAACGAGTCCTAGAGAAGGGATAAATGTAATTCTATACAATCCTGCATTATACATTTCTAAAGTGCCTTTCATCAGAAAAACTCAAAATACTTTATAAGCATTAGCCTCCCAGGAATAGATGTGCCTTTCAGTCTAGTACAGAAAAGGTCAGAGTCTAGGAGAGGAAGATTTAGGGAGCTTTGGACTGAGAAAGCCAGAAAGGACAGAACCATTAGCAAACTTTTAAATGCAAATAGGTACAAATAGCATGTAGGGTGAAGGAATTAAAGCAAGCAGAAAGAAGCCAAAAGACTGCTTCCCAAGACTCAGAACTCACACAAACCAGAACCCCTAGGTTACACCGCTTCAGAAAAGTTACCTCATCCATCCAATTCTTCTGTACAATGACCACTTCAAGGAATGCCCCTCCATTTACAAGTAACCATCTACACACACACACACACACACACACACACACACACACACACACACACACACACACACACACACACACACACACTTTCTCTCTCTCTCTCTCTCTCTCTCTCTCTCTCTCTCTCTCTCTCTCTCTCTCTCTCTCTCTCTCTCTCTCTCTCTCCCTTCCCCCATCCCCATCAGATAGACCCAGGAAAGCCTCTTCCCTTTACAAAAAAGTGATTGATCACCTAAAGACCCCTACATGCCATTTCCACCTGAAGAGCCAGAAAGAATTCCTCTCGCCATTTACAATAAAGTGACGACCACCTGAAGACCAGGGCAAACTCTTCCCCTCTATGTACAATAAATAAAGGGACCACCTGAAAAACCTAAGAAGCACCCCTCCCACACTTGCAATAAAGTGACCACCTGAAGACCCACGTTACCCCTCTACAATAAAGTGACCACCAGAAGACCCACGTTGCCCCCTCTACAAGCAGTGACCACCTGAAGACCCACGCTGCCCCCTCTACAATAAAGCGACCACCTGAAGACCCACATTGCCCCCTCTACAATAAAATGACCACCTGAAGACCCACGTTGCCCCCTCTACAGCAGTGACCACCTGAAGACCCACGTTGCCCCCTCTACAGCAGTGACCACCTGAAGACCCACGCTGCCCTCCAGAACGCATTCAAAGCCCACGGAGGAGCACTTCCACCCCCCCACACACCCGGCCGCGCTCCCTCCTTCCGGGGACGTGTCTGGGGCCTGGCTAATGGCTGCGGCGGCGGCGGCTGCCCTTCCCTGGCCTGGGGGGGCAGAAGAGCCGGGCTGCCCACCCCACCCCCCCGCTGCCTCCACACCTCCGCGGGGCCTCACTCACGCCGGCGAGCTGGGGGCTGGGCATTGAAGTCCGGCGGCGACTACGGGCGGGCGGCCGGGGGGCTCCTCCTCAATCACCTCGGCGGCGGCGGCGGCGGCGGCGGCGGTGGCGGTGGCGACGACTCCCCCCCAGCCTCCCCCCGAGCGCGCGACACCCGGCCCGGCCCGGCGGCGGCTCCGGCCCCGGCCCCGGCGGCTCCGGCTCGGGCCCCGGCTCCGGCTCGGGACGCGGCGGCGCGTGCCAGCGAGTCCGTCTTGCTGCGGCGGCGGTGGCGGCTCCGGCTCCGGCCCCGGCTCCGGCTCGGGCTAAGGCGACAGCGACGGCGGCTGCGGCTGCTCCCCGTGTGGAGGCAGCGCTGGGGCCTCGCTCGCCTCGCCTTGCGCCGCACCGCTCCGCCGAAGGGCCTGCTCCGCGCTCCGGCTGCTCCTGCTCCCGCCGCTGTTGCTCCGGCTCTCGCCGCCGCCGCTGTCGCTGCCGGGACGGTTACAGCTCAGGCTAATCGCGCCGCCGCCGCTGCCGCCGCCGCCGCCGCCGCCGCGCCGCCGCCGCCGCTACCGCCGCCGCCACCGCCGCCGCTCCTGCTGCGCGCGCAACCGGAACCACCTCGCCTTCTCCCCCTCCCCCTTCCTCGTGTCCCCTCTCCTGCGAGCGCCCCCGCCCTCCCGGGCCGTTGGTCGGCTCCTCAGCCCTCCAGTCCCTTCGCACTCCCGGCCCACCCGCCCAGCTGCCATTCCATCCGACCCGCCCACCCAGGCTCTCGCCTTTGTCTTGACCTCTGCCCTGAACTCCCCCGCTTCTCTCCATGGTTTCTTCCACTTGGAGCTCAATCCCGTTGAGGCCTGATCCATGTGGCCGTGAGAATGGGGGAGGGCACACGCGTGCGTGCACGCACACACATTCACATTCACACTCACACACAGACGCGCGCGCGCGCACACACACACACACACACACACCACACACACACACACACACTCACACACACTCACACACACAGAGCCCAGTCGGGGGCAGGAAGCAGCACCCTCAGGCGTCCCGGCCTTTGGCCTGCTTAGGAAGGGCTCCCGGCAGCCTTTGCTCCTGGAAGTATTGGCCATGCTGCCAGGTGCCATGACGCAAGGGCTGAGTGCCAGGCCCTGGTGGGACGTGGCAAGGGAGCTAAAGGCCATTGGAAAGGGATTCCCAGCCTTAAGGACTGGCAGAGGCCAAGGAGACAGAAGCCAGAGCTGCCTGGCTCTTGGCTGAGCCTCCACACAGACTAGGGTCTCCTTGGCCCTGGGCCCAGCAGTTCCTGGGCAGTAGGTCTTGGGCCTGAGGACTGACCCAGCAATGGGGAGAGATTTCCTGTAGGCTTAACCTTTTTTTTGGGGGGGGGCAGGAAGCTAGACCAGGCTGATTGCCAGTTGTCATAAAGAACAATCACTGGAAGTCTGCTTAGGGGGAAATAGAGGTGGCTTCAGAGATCTTCATTACTTCAAAAAATCCCTGATCTCATCACTATGGGTCTTCCTCTCATCAATGAAGACTCAGTCTCTTTAAACCTTAGTAGGCGGTTTTCATGAAATAAATGCTGTAGCAAAATGAACAACACCACCAAAAAAAAAAAAACATCCCCTGGTAACAAACCCTCTAGTGCTACCCTCTCATGGGCTGTCCCTTGGGTGATGGACACCCAGTTAATTGCTGTACTCATTGTCAAAGTTCGCCCAAATTACCAGGACCTGCCAGGGCTTATGTTCTCTATTTCTACCTGGGGTCACCTCCACTCCAGACAGAGGCATGTGGGGAAGACTTTTGTGTGGGGCTTCAGGATCAGGTCTTAGAAAACATGTCCCTTAGATGAAAGTGGCTATTGTGTGTTCTATCCAACCAGCCCTGGTAGAACAGACCTACCAAAAGACTAGGTTACCAGAAGCATTCCCCTAGTAGGAGGCAAGCTCCTCCAGGACAGGAACTATCTCATTTTTATATTTATATACCCAATACCTCGCACAATGCCTGGGACATATCAGGTGTTTGTTGATGGAAGAATTCTGGCCTCTTCCTGTTCTTCCCAAGCCTCAAAGTTGCCTAAGAAATAGTAGTTTAACCTCGTAGACATAGGGGCCTCCCTATGTGGGGCTCTGGACCATACATTTCTGAAGTTAGACCTAATTCTTTAGAGAAGCCCATACGGCTCATTGATGCAAAGAAGGGTCTGTCTCATGACTCAGCTCCATTAACCCATCACAAAGCCCTGGAGTTCACTCTCCGTCAAGGGCCCCAGGAGAGAGTATTTCAGGACAAGGCTGTGGGATTTGAAGACTGGAATAACAAGCCATGTTACAGATCAGGAGAGAGGTGCATCTGCCCGGCGACATAGGGGGAAGCTGGCACAGCTCCTGTTTACCCTCCACCTGCTGTCTCTCATACCCATGAAGCACAGAATACATGGTGCTCTCCTAGAGTCGGGCATCAAACCCACCTGGGATTTTGGGGAAACACCTCCTTCCTAGGCCCTAGAGACTTCCCAGGGATGACAATGGGGCATCAGCTATTTCTACCGTTGAGTCCCCAGGAAGAAAGAAGAAATACCCTCAACATAATGGGGCTTATGACCTTATCAAAAACAGCTGCCTGAGCAGGGTTATAACAGTTTTTCTCCACACCTTAAATAGCTTAAGAACTGAGCTTGGGGCACCTATATTATACAGCGTGAATCATTCTTGGCACTGAGTTTAATACATAATAAATGCCCTGAGTTTAGCAGTGCCTTTTTCTGAAAGGCTCCAAGTTTCATTAGTTTATTAATCCTCTTGACAGCCCTGAGAGGTAGGCTGTCACTATCGCTTACTCTAGCTTATAGAGTATTAGCACCTCAAGGGCAGGAAACTATTTAAACAGTATATTCATTGCATACCTTTCAAGCCTCACTGGACATTACTTACCAATTACACGCTGAAATCCAGCCAAACTCGCCCTTTCTTTGTTCCTCAGAAGCAAAACTCCATCTCTCATCACTGTGTCTCCATACTACCTACCCTGCCTGCCTGGAATGCACTCCCTCCTTCCTTCTACCACATAGAATTTCTCTCTATCAAATGAGAAGAAAAATTTTAAGGTACTTAGGACAGTGCCTGGTACATAGTAGGCACTATATAAATGCTCATTCCTTTCCCTCTCTAAGATACAGCCCAACACCACCTCCCTCATGAAGTCTTTCCTGCTAGTGCCCTCCCTCCCAAACTACCAGGAACTAGTCAGGAAGATAACACATACAAGGAAGGTGAAAAGAGGCAAAGGGGATGGGGGGTGATGGAGAAATCCAAAGGAATGTAACCAGGTGGGAAATGAAGAGTTAATACTTTGTATATATTTGTATTTAATATGCGTATATTTTATAGGTGCCTGTTGTCCCCCCCATTAGATGAATAAGCTTTTTACAATAAGAGATTGTTTCTTTTTTTGTACTTATATCTCCAGCAGGGGCCATCGCCAGTCATCTTGACCTCCATCTTGCCATTGGCATCCAGTGATTCTGGGAGAGCGAGGCTGAAGACTTTGTATAGCTCTGCCTCACTTAAATCCTATTCGCTTTCAAGTCAAGACATCACCCTCCTGGTATCATTGGTCCTCTGAGAATGAAAGACAAACAACAATCCCCAGCGCCTAGCACAGTGCCTGGTATAGCAAAGAGCATTTAATAAATACTCGACAATTAAATTGATTGACTGATGGCGCCTGCCCCATGGCCGGTGTTCCATATACAATTTAATTCAATTTATCAAGTGCTTAGTTAGTTGTTATCCTTCATACTTGAAGAGGAACAAAATAATATCACCATGTCGGGGTCAATGTACAGCGTGTCCGACTGTGGCTGATCAGAACAGTACAAACTCTGAAGGCTCTACCACAGGTCAGGCACAAACAGTCCACGTGAACATTCGGAGTGCAGATGTCTCTAAATTTGTGCACCTCACATTTCTTTTGAGCTACTGCAATTCTGCTTTGCTCATAGAGCACAACACCCTGTCTGATGCAGGCACGCCATACTGGGCATTCCTGTGCCAGTGTCTCCCATGTCTCACCATTGATTCCAAAGTTCTTCGAGAAACCTTGAGAGTGTCCTTGTGTCACTTCTTTTTGACCTTTTGTGAATGCTTGCCTTGTGTGACTTCTCCACAAAGT